CTCCCCCCCACTCTCTACCCCAATATTTCTTAATTCACATTCTTCCATGCGCCGACGAATCTAAATAATTCGAAGAATTGGGTGTTAATAGCTGCTAATGATGAATAAAAACTGTGAAACCGGAAACTAATTTTGTATTAGATTCTCATATCAGATTCTGTCCTTATGCGCCCCACTTGTAATCACAATGATCCTCCAATATTAAAAGGACTACAAACCGGTAACAGACCGCAAATGGTGGCAGTTAAATGGTTGTCGGCGAGAATCAAGACATGTACAGCTAAATGGCTTACGGCGAAGTTACATATTCTAAAATTGCCTTTCAGGCATTTTTAGAATTATTAATAGTTTACAGCAGTCTAGTGGAGTACTGTACATCGTTGTCTTTGCAACAACCGTACAGCGAATCGACGGTTAATTGATCTATTTGACTGATCTAGCAAACGTTCATTATCTTCTAGAACTGATCCATACACTATATAGGTTTCTTTAAGTCAATAGAACTCAGACACGGTTCAATAGGTTAGAATATACAGCATAAAACGCATATTTAACTTGTACCAGTAGACGGAATAGCTTTGGTTATCTAAGACACTTGTGGATGTCCAATCCATTCGAATAATTTTCAACCCAAATGACGTCATTCGTCAATATCAATCAGTTTCTTTTCTTAATCAAATGATGACCCAAACTACTTCCCTTTTTTATGGGGAGGGGGACGAGACATTAGTAATGAGATATTTAGATTAAGTGTTATGTAATTGTGCACCCGTCATTCAATAGAACCACCTTCTCCAGCCCGGTCTATATAGCCACCATCGCCATTAAAGGCCAACTTTACTGCTAACATAAAGCCAATTAAGATCCGTCCATCATATCGAAATCGTCCACCCTAGTATTATGGCGTTAAGTAAATTCTAAGTCAGACAAATGCCTCGGTTCTTCGTTTTTTTAAAGAAGAAACTTCTTGTCATTATCTAAACAAATCACCCTCTTCAAGAGGAAACACATGAACACACGAAAAACAGCCTCTTTGGACAGAATTTCATAAATTTTAAAGCCGATAACTTTGAACAATTCGAATTTATTCCTCGTAGAAATAGAAGCATCACAGTGTGTTAGCGCTGTGAACCACATAATTAGATTGCTTAGGCACAAAATATATTTACACATGAAAAATTATTACTTGAAAAAAAAAAACCGTGAAAAAGATATACATCACCTCTGTTTGTATTGTGGCAAGTGCCCACGGCTTTTGTTAGTGCTTTTGAAATAACAAACGAACGCGATGGAAATATCATTAGCTCAAACCAATGTTCTAGGCGAAAAGTACACGGTTAAATAGTGTTTCCGTTGGTTGCTTAGAGATTGAGTTGAGTTGAATAAACGCCGTTCTCTGGTGTTGAAAACAGTTATACCTCTCTTTTAGTGTATTTGGTTTAGTTATTAAAACAAATACAACGTAAAGTATTGAATGGAATTGTGGTAGCTTGTTATAACAAGAACATGTCGTATTTCATGACCTTTCGAGTCTGATGACTTCGATTCACTAGCGACAAATATCAATCAAAATTCGAATACAACCATGAATATTGAACGCTTGAATTTTTCCCAGATTATGGGAGAATCTTACCGGCGAATTACACGAAATACACTGTACGTTTGCCATGGTTTTAGTCTTGAGAAAAAGCGGTCTGTGTTTTGGGTTTTGAGAACCGGTTCTTCGCCACCAGGAGTTCAAACGAGCGATAGAACGAGTGGGAACCCAAAATGATTAGTGACGTCGTCTGGAACAGCAAGAAATATCCACAGTAAAGTCAACGTATCTTGTTTTATCAGCCACCCTGARCAATCTACGTCATTCAGCTACCAGTTAGGAAATACTTGACGAAAATGTTATACTTATAAGGTATTCAAAACCCACCAGACAATGCATTCTGGGAAGGTCACGTGACCGGTGAGAGGAGCCAAGTGGTTACGACACGTCGGTAAATATCGTCCAAATTCGTTAAAAACTAAACCCGTAAAACCAATTTTTAATTTGATGTGTCGGTAAGCTTTCAAATTTAGTGCTAAACTGATTAGTTTGATCAAGTTAAAGCGTTCGTGTTAAACACAGACTTCTTCTCCGGCAGCTCAGCTCATATCACGGAACATATCCGATCTATAAAAAATACCTGGTCCAAATTTTGTCCAAATTCGTACAGGAAAATCACTCTGGAATTTTAGCTGATGTTATTAATCCTAATGTCAAGATAATTCAGATTGTCAGTAAAAACATAAAACATCGGATTCCGTCTTGATTATATTTGAAGGAATTCCTTAAAAATTACTCTTTGGTGTACTTCGTCTATGACAAGTGTTATTTATATCATTTAACCAGTTCTTATTTTCCTTTATTTTCCAACAGTTTCTCGTTTGTATTGGACTAAACTTTATTCTCGTAATTTCGTCCCCCAAACTTCATTTTAGCTATGGCAGCTGAAACCGAGTAGAATTGAATATGATTAAGGATTGACAATGAGGAATTGAAAATAATATGGCTTTATATATATTTTGCATTGTTTGGCATGCAGTGTTGAGTAGAGTGCAATTACCATTATGATTAGAATAAAGTAAAGATTCCGGATACCAAACCGTTTTCATTTAAAAATCGATTAGAAATCCAACTTTATTTTCATAAGTAGAAAAAAAAAAAAAAATGGCTAGATGGTTAGGTGGCTGAAGAAATAAAAAAACCGGTTGCTATGGTACTACCTTGATAGCTTAATTATAAGGACATTTTGAATCCTAACTGTCTGTTTAATTGTCAATTGTTTGTCTCAGATCTTGCGTGTCACTGATGTGGGTGAAAAGACTAGGGTGAGGCAAAACAAGGCAGGTACTTGATCCCTTCCTTCCTGCTTCCCTTACGGCCTTTAGTCCTTCAGTTGAGTAGTCGGTCGATTCATCCGACCGGTCGGGTCCGTAAAATAGCGCGCGGTTGTTCGGGACACCTAACCAGCCAGTCAGCTATTTCATATCATTAAGTGAATAATAAGGAACTTTTAACACCTTGTAAAAAAATATGTGGTTAAAGGAGTAAAAAACTCAGTGGTAACCGCTAATAGTCAACATATACATAGTAGTATACTGTTTCCTTTCCTTTTCTTTTCTTTTTTCTTTTCCTACTGTTTTCTTTTGTTCTACTTGGACTATCGCTGAGTCACTAAATTATACAAATTTTGTTTCACAGGCCAAAGAAAATCATTCTATCTTGCAGAGTTACCCGAGATCAGTAGACCTCTATAGACTTAAACCATGGCACCCAATTCTCTAGGTTAGTTGGCGCACTGTTAATAGTACTGGATAAACGTTTTCAGGTCAGATAAGTGGATTATGGAATAAGTTATTTAATGGTCGTCTTGACAACCTTTAGGCCTTCAGTTAGCTATAGAGAAACTCTATATTGGTGTTAACGTTCAATACTCACTCTCGGATTTCGAAACCGGTTCTTCATTACAGCAAGGTTAATACTTCAAGTTAACTGACCCAAAGACGTGGAAAACGAGAGCTAGAGTTCAATAAGAGCCCAGAATTAAAACTATATTTCTTAATTTTTACTGTCTTAAATCGTTTTCCCCTTGTTCTATCTCTTGAAATGATTGATAGTTTAAAAGCCGTGTCGATTGTTCTTAGCAAAAAGGACGTTTTATTGGCCAACGTTGCATGTCAACTTTGGCTTTTCTGAGCAATTTTCTGTCAACGCTTCGTTTATGTAAATATCACGTTGTAGAGCTATAACCGGCCTAGCAAAACCTATTCTTTCGATTATTATCTGATAGCAAACAAACCAAACTCCTTTGCAATCTTAAAGACTGGATTTCGATTGATTGTTTTTGAATTAGTTTTTTTTGTAACACTCCGGTGCCTTTGTAAAGTCAACTAACAGACGCCTCAGAAGAAAAAAACACGCAAAGGATACAGGACTGAAAAAAGCAACTAAAGATACTCAAAAACAGATTCGTGTAACCCTTAAAAAGCACACAGGTGATTATCTAAATTCAATTTTGGACAGCGTGCTAAACTCAAGAGTGTAAAACCATTGGGGGTCGAGTACTTCAGCTAAAGCCAGACTTTTAAATTTGCTAAGATCTACTCAAGATTCTGCCAAATGATTACTAGAAACAAATGTGGAGCCTCACTGGTTTGATGTTTGATCTATTGTACTAGTGTATCTATCGTTTCCACCCGTTCATCCTGTATTTAACCAACCCCTCCCAACCCTCCCCTCCCCTTTGTCAAAAAGAAGCTGATTCATGTCTCCTTTGTCTGCGAAAAAGAGCTATTTTTAAAGGAGACTGGAAAATTTGTAACGAAATCATGCCAGTCTTGTGTAAATTCGAATGCCGCGTTAAACCAGCTCTTTCGGTTTCGTCTAAGTAACGCGTGCTACGAACCAAATGACTCACACATTCACCTACTGCATTCATTTGCAAAGAGCCGGATCGAGCGGTAATGCTATTCCCTGTCTGAGACCAAACACGAAATATTTTGTCTTTCTCCTAACTTTATCGTGTGAAGTGAGTATGAAGTTGCCGAGATAAATTTAGTACAGAAAATAAAGTTGAGCAATAATCGATGCAAAATAAACACGCTATAGGCGGGAAGGATAATCATAGTTCATTTTTTCCTGTTATTCACTTTTTTTAATGCTTTTTATCTTATTATTTCAGTTTCTTACTCCAATTAAATTAAAGTGATACAATAAAGGATAATAAATTTCAACTTTTCGTTTTTGGAAGATTTTTTTACTAATTGAAGAGCCCTCACTCTCAGTACTAACAATGACTGTACTTCCACCGAATTCAGCTTGCATTAAAAAAGTTATTTCGTTTTCATCTCATTAAGTATGATAGTAACGTAAACTGATTAGAAGTCAAAGTCTTAAATTTTGTCTTCTCTGTCTCTGAAATCGTTGTTAAGCATGAATAAGTCGCCATCGCATGCAGCCGGGAAATACTTACTCGAGCTTATAGTACAGCGTTTATCTAATTACCAAGACATGTGTCGGGCAATGCTGAATAATAAGGCAGTTGTTTTCAAAATGCTTTTTAATCAGAGTTTATATTAAGTGTTGTGTCTTATAGAGTCCTGTTTTGCAAAGAGACTTGCGAAACGGACCATGGAACAACGGTTTTCTTAGCCCCCTCTCATTAGCTTCAATGTACCACGTTTACCACTCGCTGTGCAAAACCACGACCAAAAGAACAACAAGAATTGTGGATTTCTTCTCTAGTACGAGACAGATAAAACCAACAATCCCTGGGAGAGGTTTTCTATTAGCATTCTCTTTGGAATTCATACCGTACGAGCAGGAATTAGTTGTGTGACAGGATACGACTATCTTCACAACCTTTACCCAGCCAACCGAGAAATACAGCACCATGAATCCGATCAGTAGTCTTCATGTTTTATCAACCCTATTCCCTCGAATATATTGCTTGTTTTTGGCCTTCAAAGCCTTAAGAAACCCTTCTACTTACCAATCTGTTACAAGCCATACAGTGTTGAGGTGTTTCAGCGTCATTTTGGTCCATGTTTTACGAGATTTTTCACGAGAGACTCAGTTGTCTGCTTCCAAGTGGAGTAAAGAGCGGTTAGAAGTCGACAAAAAAACCAAAACGCGTGACGTGCACGACACACGTGACCTTTCACATTGAAATTATCATGATTATCGCTGAAGTGTTCATCATAGCCCGTCCTTTTGAGCAATTAAATCCGATTTACTGTTCTTGTCTTTTGACCCTTCTCTCGTCGTGTTTTTAAAATCCTGGTTTCTTGTTGTTGAAGCACGAGCTCCATTTGCTAATTCGTGAGCTTCTGTTATCGTATGCCATATTGTCTCGCATAGAATCCATTTCAGTCGTCGACGAAGTTTCTACGAAAAAACTATACATTAAGAACAAAGATATTTTCAGTTTCAAGGTTTTCTAGATACCTTTTTTCGTAATAGCTTTATTTGTGAACTCAATATATTTTTTCAGTGTTTCGCTTTCTCGGTAATTCGACAGCCATGGTGACAGGCTTACCTGCTACAGCACAAAATGACATTAAAAGGTTCGTTATTGCTCTTAATAGTAGTTGAGCTGCATAAAAACTTCATAACGTTTATATTTCACTTTTTCTTATCAATGGTCTCGGTCTTTTAAACATATTACATATATAAACCATCTGTGCCCGAAGAAGTATAAATATACATATACCAAGAGAATATGAACTAAGAGAATATGAACTAAGAGAATATGAACTAAGAGAAGGAATCCCCGCGCCCCGTCATGAGCACTCCTTGATGCTGTTTTTAGAATCTTTGATGCTATTTTTAGAAGCATTTATTTGATCATTTGTTTTTCTGCATGCGCATTCTGCGCAGGCGCGCACTCCACCCTGTTTGCTCATGTTTTTTTTTTGTGTTTCAAAAAAAAAAACGTAATCAAACAGGGTAGAGCGAGCCTAGTAGTGCGCGTGCACAAAAACAAACGATGGCACATTTGATTCTAAAAAGTAGCATCAAAGGGTGCCTATAGATGATGTTTACAAGCATGAATACCAGAGATTCCTTCTCCTTAGTTCATTTTCAGTTGTATACCTATTCCAAACCAAAGGATATAGGCGAAAGGTCATTCCAAGACTGGAAGAAATCATGGATACAACTAAACACGAATAATCGAGGCTTTTAAAATGGTTCCGTCGACGGCAAACAACATTGAAGCTGATCAGTCAAGTTGTTGAAGTCACTCCAGCTATTCTTATAGCTAACTTCTCTTCAATAACCTACCTTTAAAAGCTAACTCATTATCTCCTATCGCCTTTGGCTCCGACAATCTTTTT